CGTGGTCCCGAATTCTTTGCTCATGTTCTCCCTCCTTCTGCTCCTCCTTGGGACCTTGGGAGCTCAGTCCAGTGCTCCTGTGTGGGTCTCTGTCTCTATCTCTATCCATCACCAGATGAAGATTCTATGATGATATGCAAGATATTTGTCAGTATTGCTCTAGGATAGGGTCATTTCAGGTTCCCAATCCTCAGCTGCCCAAGGAACTAACTGGGAACCTCATCTTGGGCACTAGGGAGCCCCTCTAGGGTCAAGTCTCTTGCCCACCCTAAACTGGCTCCCTTAACTAAGAAATGTGGTTCCGTGCTCCCCTATCCACCTTTCCTTTATCCCAATTCTCCTGTTTCCCAAGTCTCCCCTCCTTCCCTTCTACCTTTTCTCTCCCCATCTCCCTTTACCCCCATCCCACCCCATCCCCAAGATCCCATTTTCTCCCCGGAAATTTGGTCTACTTCCCTTAGCCAAGAGGACAACTATATGTTTTTCCTTGGGTTCACCTTCTTACTTAGCTTCTTTAGGTTCACCTCTTGTAGACTCCGTGGTCCTTATTTATGGCTAGAAACCAATTATGAGTGAGTACATCCCATATTCATCTTTTTGGGTCTGGGACACCTCACTCAGGATAGTGTTTTCTATTTCCATCCATTTGCATGCAAAATTCGAGAAGTCATTGTTTTTTACCGCAGCGTAGTACTCTAGCGTGTATATATTCCATACTTTCTTCATCCATTCTTCCATTGAAGGGCATCTAGGTTGTTTCCAGGTTCTGGCTATTACAAATAATACTGCTATGAACATAGTTGAACAAATGCTTTTGTCATTTGATAAAGCATCTCTTGGGTATATTCCCAAGAGTGGTATTGCTGGGTCCAGGGGTAAGTTGATCCCGAATTTCCTGAGAAACCGAAACACTGACTTCCACAGTGGTTGCACAAGATTGCATTCCCACCAGCAATGGATGAGGGTACCCGTTCCTCCACAGCCTCTCCAGCAAAGGTTATCCTTGGTGTTTTTGACTTTAGCCATTCTGACAGGTGTAAGATGATATCTCAAAGTTGTTTTGATTTGCATTTCCCTGATTGCTAAGGAAGTTGAACACGACCTTAAGTGTCTTTTGGCCATTTGAACTTCTTCTGTTGAGAATTCTCTGTTCAGTTCAGTGCCCCATTTTTTAATTGGGTTAATTAGCATTTTAAAGTCTAGTTTCTTGAGTTCTCTATATATTTTGGAGATCAGACCTTTGTCTGTTGTGGTGTTGGTGAAAATCTTCTCCCAGTCAGTAGGTTGCCTTTGTGTCTTAGTGACCATGTCCTTTGCTTTACAGAAGCTTCTCAGTTTAAGTAGGTCCCATTTATTCAATGTTGCCCTTAATGTCTGTGATTCTAAGTCAATACATCACACAGTTCCTTAAACATACATTTGTTGTTTTTGTTTTAGTTGCTGTTGGTGGTGTGTATATGTGTGTATGTGTTATAAAATATGGAGTTTTATTCCATTGTAAGGAAGAATGAGGTATGTCATGTGCTGGAAAATATATGAAACTTGGGATTATAATCTCATGTAATGCAAGATTCACAAAGACAAATACCTTTTTTCTTCATTTATTGAATCTTAATTTCATATAGATACATAACATTACTTACATATATAACAAATATACATATATATTTATAACATATTTACATGAAGGCAGGAGGCAGACTGTGGTTAAATGAAGGCAACTGAAAGATGAAGGGAAAGGATGAAGAAAGGGGAATAATGTGGATGAAGGTGGTCTAAGACCACGACGCCTGAAATGTAGCACTATGCACAATAAATATGTACCAATAAAAGAAAGGAAAGCAAGAAAGAGGAAAGAAAATAGTCAATGATATCACCAATCACACCTCTATCTTCTTTTCCTGCTGCCATATTTCAAGTCCTGCCTTTCTTTCTCAGCTTCTCTTCTCCACCTTGCCAGTGACCTTTGTGTGTTTGCTCCTTCCTATACCAAGGAGCTGTTAGACCCCATTAGTTTGGATGCTTTTAATTTCTCCTTGTATCTTGTCGTCTAAACACACTCAATTTGTTTTAATCACCTTTCCTGCTCTCCTACACACATGCAAACATTCCTAGAAGAGTCCTCATTCTCAGGCAGTGATGCTAAGAATAAGGCAGGAGGAGAGCCAGGTACCGAGGAAAGGGCAAGGGACAGGGAAGGTGAGGAGAGCTATCAGAGCAGCTGGCTTGGGCTCCTTTCCAAGAAGACTGTGGTATTCATGAGAAGATGCTGCCAGCTCTTTAGCTTTGCTGTTGAATTTAGTTTGGAGGCGCATTTGCAGTTTAGACATTTGAATCACATGCTTCCCGTAAGGCCTCTCAATTGCTGGATGGATCTGCTACATCAACCTTAATTGAAGTTGATTAAAAGCAAAATATCACTTAGATGGAATATAATTTCTCTGAATCATTGTTAAAAAATATAGATGAGTGTTGTGGGGAAATCCCCAGGCCTACTGCACTGTGCAGAGGGACTACAACTTTTGGCAGTGGGAAACTTCCAATTGTCAGTGTAGTCCTCTGTTCTATTGTGAAGAGCCCCCAGCTCTACTCTTGCTTAGATTCAGTAACATCTTGACTTGCTATATTACTGACAGAATGCTTCATTGACACGTGTTATTGGCTCCTGCTTTAGCTTACAGGTATTTCTTAGAGCATCTTTCTCCTCAATCCTCATTGACATCCCTGCTCGTAAAGATTTTGAGGATATTGTTTTGAACTCCTTAAAAGATCTATGAAAAAATAGTAATTACTATTTATTGCTCACTTGAATTCATATCATATCTTATTGGGGCATTGCTTCATGTAGGATTAGTATGTATTATTGCACCATAGTTTGTTAATAGGCCATATGCAAGGTAATGAGCAGTGCTTCAATGTCAGCCTTGAAGGGTATATTGAATAAAGCAGTTTTTCACAAGTCAGCATTGGTCTGGATACTAATTAACATTTCAGTGTTGATGATTTGAAATATGGAATAGGGAGTAAGCTTATTAAATATGCAGATTACCCTTCATTGAGTAGGGGTGATTATTGACTTCAACCACACTTTAGGAATTTATGAGGACCTTGACAAATTAAGCAAGGTGATTATAAGTAAGATAAAGTTTAATGAGGACAAATAACTGATGATTTACTTTGTGTGTGTATGTGTGTGTGTGAGAGAGTGTGTGTGTGTGAGAAAGAGAAAGAGATAGTGTGTGAGCTTGTGTGTGAGAGAGAGAGTGTGTGTGATCATGTGTATGAGAGAGTGTGTATGTGAGCATGTGTGAACGTGTGTGTGTGTGTGTGTGTGTGTGTGTGAGAGAGAGAGAGAGAGAGAGAGAGAGAGAGAGAGAGAGAGAGAGCATCTGTGTGTGATAGCTCAGAATTAGGGAATGAAGACAGTTTCAAAATGAACCATCCAATAACCACAAACTTGAGATATGGCATTATTATTTATCAAGAAATTTAGAAGTTACATAGTAGCATAAAATTTTCCAAGCCCTTTAAAGATTGCTGTGGCCTCTTTAATCACAGAGAAAACAATGGAGCCGCTAATAGCTGCAGAAAGGTGGTCAATAGATTTGGGGGATAAGAACTAAAGGAATTTAGTTGTTAACTCAACAAGAGAAAAGCTTAAAGGGTGAAAGGAACAAAGTATTACCTGAAGGAAAATCACGTGTGGGTAAGTGGCTAAGAGCAGAATGACAGGCTTCTCTGAGACAGAGTTTGGGGTACAAATAAGACAGGTTTTCCAGGAGTTCAGTTTTATAAATCAAGTCAGTATTTCTGGCACCTCGAATCCAGTCATGCAGTGCTAGTGATAGCTCCTCATTGTCCTCCCATGTGATACCTGAGGGATTTTTGCGTAACAGAAGTTAGTATTAATCATCTCCTTGGAATGCATGGGAATTAATGAAGTACTACATGGATTTTTAAGTATGTAAAGGTTCAAAACTTCATTGTCCTTTTTTTGTACTCTGATGAATTATTTGAAGATATCATTTTAGTGTAAATCAGCTGGTTGGCTGTCAATAGTGACATAATAAAATGCTGGCCACAAATTTGGAATAATTTTACAGTCATTATTAATGTGTTGAGGTAAATATCTTTATTTTTTCATGATATATTATATAGGAAATGGGAGAACTAGGGGATGATTGACTTGACAGCATCGCAGAACCTATCTTAAGATAAAATGTCCAGGCAGGTTTGGAATTCACTGTGTAGACTGGACTGGCCTTGAACTCACAGAGATACCCCTGCCTCTGCCTTCTCAGAGTATTGAGATTGGAGGCATGTGCCACACACAGTCCATTCCATTTTTGTATTATCTGTTTTGTTTTGTTTTTGTTTTTAAACAGGTTCTTCCTCTATAGATCAGGTTGGCTTACACTCAGGGATACCCTGCCTTGGATCCCCAAATGTTTGGATTTTAGATGCGTGTCACATACACAGTACAAGAATTTTTTTTCATAATATAAATGAATTTATTTGTTCCTTTATTTTTGCTTTATGCTTAATACTCTTAAGAAATAGTGAACATTTCTGTAGTCCTCTGTCTGTTTATCACAGCCCATCTTATCCACTTGTGTGAGTCAGCCTTTCAATTTGTAAAGGAAATGTAGAACTGCCCATGCGCAGGCAGTCTGCTCTCCTGTGTTGTCTAAGATATTCACCTTTCTCAAGTGCATCTGTTTCCCACAGACGTCCAACTTACCTGTGCCTGTCTAACCATGTGAAGAAAAGAGAGATGCCTAAAGACTTTTCCGAGGAAAGTGGAAGGAAATCCCTAAATTTGCCAGCAATGGCTTCTGTGCCATTTTTTTGGGCAACTATTCCCTGAGGCCATAGTCCAGGAAACATTAGACCTTATAGAAAAAAGGTTTTTCTTGTGTGTATTGATATATGCTTTTTCTAGACCAAGAATATTTGAAACTCTGACTCGTATTTAAGTAGTTCTTAAAAAGAAATATCACTTGCTAACTTGGGCAGCACATGTACCAAAATTGGAACAATACAGAGAAGATTAGCGCGGCCCCTGCACAGGGATGACATGCAAATTCATGAAGTGTTCCATATTTTTAAACTGTGTTTTTCTAATGAGAGACAAAAAAGGAATGGATTAAGAGGGGAAGGGAGGCAGAAAGGAGCTGGGGGTATGAAAAACTTTAATCAGAATATATTCTATGAGAAGATAATTTCATTTCAAAAAAGGAACATGAGCAATAAATAAATAAATATCAAGTTGTCAGTGGTAGTACCTTCCTGTAATTCCAGCAGAGGTGAGGTGGAAGCAGCGGGAGAATCAGGAGTTTAAGATCAGGCCCCACTGGATAGCTTGGGCCACAGGAAAATCTGCCTTATGGAGTAAAATAAAAAATCATCCTAGAAGTGTTCAGAGCACAAGGAGTAGAGGCTACTTTTGTCTAGCATCCTTTGTAGTAACGCATAGGGAGGAATTCTTGAAAAGATGAGTGCTTCAGGATACATATATAGAGAAGGATGGAAAAGGGACAGGGAGATGAAGGCTAGATGGCTTAGCCACTTAGGACCTCTGCCAGCCCTGCTCATGGAGCTGTCCCCATGTCCCCCTTCTCAATCTTCTTCCTTTTTAGTCCTCACCTGGACTCTTGTACATCCTCATCTCTGTCCTGAAAGCTTTCCTCACTAAACTCTCTGTGTGTCTACACACACACACACACACACACACACACACACACACTCACACACACCACACATACACACACACACACACACACAGGCACACAAACACACACACAGAGCATGGCTATACTCAGCCACTGACTGTTATCATTCTAATTTACACTTTAAATTTTTCTTCTAAGGTTTCTTCTGTCTTTAGGCATGAAGGTCCCAACAGCATGGAGAAGAATAAAGACAGCACTTCAGTGTGAGAAACAATGTTTCCATTAAAGATACCTGGTGTTAGGCTCTCCATGAGTCACCCCATAACAGGTATTTTAAGCCAGTCAGTTGACCTCCAAGTAGGCAGCCTTCTTTCCATTAGAATGATTTGCCTAAATCTTTTCAAACCCAAAAACTCTGTATTATTATTAGGTTAAACAGCCCCTTATATGAGCTTCTTTCACTAACAGGCACATTGGCTGCCTGTGTTCCATATGTGCCTCTTACTAATGTCACTACAGTAGTAGTTTACAGAGCTATTAAATATGAGCCAAAACTTTGGAGTTTTTTTCCTAATGGACAATTTGTTTTTCTTGGTTCTCTCTCTCTCTCTCCTTCCCTCCTTCCCTCCTTCCCTCCCTCCCTCCCTCCCTCTCTCTCCCTCTCCCTCTCTCTCATTTTGGACTGAAATCGATATTTATCATACAATATGTCCTGATTACAGTTTCCTTCCCCTACCTCCTGCAAGATATTCACCCATCCAACTCCATGACTTTTTTTTCTCTCTCCTTAGAAGCAAGCAAGCAAGTAAAAACAAACCAGAAGTTAAAACAAATAAAGAAAAGGCATACACACACACACACACACACACACACAAAACTTATAGAAACACAAAATCAGAAACAATAATCTATATGGAATATACCAGTAATACTTAAAAAACTGCTGAGGACAAAGCAAAATTACACAGAAATTCTACAAGAATACCATTGAATTCACTTGTGTTGGCCAATAGTCATGGGATGGATCCTATACCTCTATGTGTGTGACCCCTTTACTCCATTGGAGAAAAGTAGTTTTTCCTTTGTATGTGATTATCACAGGCAAATAGATTCTTGGTTAGAGATGGGAGCTTGAGTCCACCTTCCCCCTCAGTACTTGGACTCCATCTGGCTTGAATGTGTGCAGGCCCTGGGTATGCTACCACATTCTCAGGGAATTCATACATGAGTCAATCCTTTTGTGTCTGGAATACACATTTCCTTGGTGTCATTCACCCCCTCTGGCTCTTAGAATCTTTCTGCCTCCTATATAAATCCCCGAGCCCTGAATGGAAGGGTTTCATGAAGACAGCCCATTGAGGACTGTGTTCCAAAGTCTCTCAATTCTTTGGACGCTGTACAGATGTAGGCCTCTGTATTAGTTCCCATATGTTGCAAGAGGAAGCTTCTCTGATGATGGCTAAGTGAAACACTGATCTATGTGTATGGCATAGTGTTATTAAGAGTCATTTTATTGTTATATTCCTTTCGTAAAATAGAAGTAATTGCTTTCCCCCTGAACCCATGGCTTTTCTGTTCTCAGGTTCTCGGCCACCTGGGCAATATCAGGCATGGTTCCACTTCACGGGGTGGATCTTATAGCCAGAGAGTGACTGCTGACTCCCACCATGTTGGTGCCACTATTGCACCAGCATTTCATGCCATCAGGTCAACATTGTATATTACAGGATTTGTGGCTGGGTTGGTGGTTACTTTTTTTTCCCTGGTAGCATGGAGAATATCTTCCAGTATAGGTACCATCTTAACTTCTCCAAACCCATTGAGCTATGTTGTATTCCACAACAGGGCCTTTCCATCATTTTATGGAGAGCAACTAATAGTCTTGACGATAGCCTGAGATGCATGCAAGTTTCTAAGGAGCCACTTTAGCAAACAATTTAATTGGATGCAATCCTTTACTAGCACTGAAAGCTTCATTTGGTAGTAAAATACTCAGCACTTTGTCTCCCTCATTTGGTTACTCCATTTAGATTTCTTTCACTATGTATATTTTAAGAAGGTTCTACAGTCATAGTTTTATATATGACCGCCTCAAATGATTTTTCACCTTAGATATCCCCCACATATTCTACTGCACACTCCCATCTTCCCTACCACTCACCATTTAATCCTTCTACTCCAGTCTCCTCCCTGTCTCTCCACACAATATAATGTACTTACCCTTGTTTGGGATGTTCCCCACTTCTCCTCAGCTAAACCTAAACCCCTGTAATTATGCTGATTATATTATGCCTATCAACAGATTAAACACTACATCCACATATAAAAGAATACATACAATATTTGTCTTTTTCAGACTATATTACCTCCCTATGAATAAATGTTCCTGATTCTGTATATTTACCTAGGGATTTTATGATTTTGCCCCCCTCCACTACCAGGGAACCAATATTCCATATGGAAATGTATCATTTTCCTTATCCATTCATCAATTAATGTACATCTAGGCTGTTTCCAATTACTGGATATTATGGGAAGACCATAAATGAACATGAATTAATACGTGTCTCTTAGAGTAGGATGTGGAGTCCTTTGAGAGTATAACCACTTAGTATGGCTGAATTTTAAGTTAGATCTATTCCCAGGTCCCAGAGGAAAAGCCATACTGATTTCCATCCTGACTGTAAGAGTTTGCACTCCTGTCAGCAATGGATGAGTGTTCCTCCTACTCTACAGCCTTGCTAACATGAGCTTTCATTTATTTTATTGATCTTAGCCACTAAGATAAAATCTTAAGGTAGTTTTGATTTGCATTTTCCTTGATGACTAAAGATGTTAAACATTTCTTTGTTTCTTAAACATATGTAGTTCACCTTTTGAAATTGCCCAGCTTAGTTCTAGACTTCATTTTTTAAGTTATTTGTTTTCTTGATGTCCAGTTTGTTTTTCTAAGTTCATTATGTGTTTTAGATATTGACCCTTACTGGATCTATGATTGGTAAAAATCTTTTCCTATTCTGCAGCTGGCTTCTTTGTCTAACTAATGATGTCCTTTGCTATGAAGAAACTTTTCAGTTTCATGAGGTCTCATTTATAAATTGTTGATGTTAGTGCCTGTTCTAACAGTGTTCTGTTCAGAAAGTCTTTTCCTTGGTATTTGGGTTCAAGATTGTTCCACATTTTCTATAATATTGAGGGTATCTGACCTTATGTTGATGTAACATGAGTGGGGACCTGTTTGTTGTTGGGGTTTTTATCCCACCCAGTACCCCACAACTGTTTAACCCAAAAGAAAATCACACACAGGTCTCCATAAATTATATGCTGATTGGCCCGTTAGCTCTAGCCTCTCACTGGCTAACTCTCACATCTTGATTAAACCATTTTTTCTGATCTATGTTAGCCATGTGGTTCAGTACCTTTTTTCAGTGGGGCAAATCACATCCTGCTGCTTCAGTGGTCTGGGCAGGAGTGGGAGTCATCAACTTCTTTTTCCTAGAATACTCCTGTTCTCATTACATCATTTCTATTTCCTGTCTGGTTTTCCCACCTATATTTCCTGCCTGGCCAATCAGCGTTTATTTAAAACATGATTGACAGATTACAGACAATTCTCCCACACCATGTTGAGGTCCTTGGTATATTTGGAGTTTTGCATTGGGTGATAAGTATGGAACTATTTACATTCTTCTATATGTACCCATTCAGTTTGACCAGCTCCATATTGTGAAGATACTTTTTTCCTTGTTTGCCAAAACCAGGTGTTCATAGGTTTATAAATTTATGTCTTGCTGTTTAATTTCATTCAATGAATCTGCTTTTATTCCAATACCATTCTGCTATTATTACTATAGTTCTGTAATACAATTTGATATCAGAGATACTGATACCTCCAACAGTTACTTTATCATTCAAGATTGATTTAGCTATCTTGGATTTCTTGTGTTTCCATATGAATCTGAACATTGTTTGTTTATTTCTGTGAAGAATTGTTTCCAAATTTTGAAAAGGATTGCAATGAATCTCTAGATTGCTTTATTAGGATGTTCATTTTCACTATCTTAACTCAGCCAATTCATGAACATGAAAGATTTTTCTATTTTCTGATATTTTCTTTAATGTCTTAAAATTTTTATTTACAAGTCTTTCACTTGTTTGGATAGAGTTATCCCTAGATAATTTTGAGACTATATTGTTTGCCTGTTTTTATTTTCAGTCTGTTCACCATTTATATACAGGAAGGCTACCGATTTTTGTGTCAATTATGTGTCCTGCTGCTTTACTAAATGTGTTACTCAGTTGTAAAAGTTTCCTGGTGTTTTTATGGTCTCTTGTATATAGTCATATTATCTGTCTATAATGATACTTTGACTTATTCCTTTCCAGTTTTTATCCATGTGATCTTCTTCAGTTGTCTTATTACTCTAGAAAAGAC